ACAACACTCCAGAGTTCTGTATATTATACTCCATTCTCCATCCCACGCTTGAGGAACCATGTCAAGGCCAACTTCCTTCTGGTTGGATGCATTATGCGAGGACCTTTTTTAGAATCTGTTACTTCATTGTAATCAGCATCTGGCTCATTTTATCATATAGGAACAAGGCAGTAGTGCCTAGTGGTCAGGCCACTCTGCCATGTGGTATGGCCCTTTTATGGATTTGAAGGATCCAACATAAGACTAAAGGGGATATGTAAAGGAAGTGGTCCTGGGAATGAACACTGCCTGGAAGGAAATCCTGTCATTGTATCTTTAAGGGCCTGGGGCAGGAGCCTTGCAGAGGAGGGCAGAGCCCCCCACCAACTGGAACGAGCTGGGAGAAGGGGACCAGCATAAATGCTGTATCCTCTGTCATCTCAGGGAGATGCCTGCAGACTCTGAAGAGAGTAAGAAGGTCCCTGCATAAGTGGGGAGAAGGCTGCCTGCTGGATCCTGCTAGCCTCAGGATTAACTGATGAAAACGGGGCAGCTGAGGCAGAAGCTGGTTAAGGCCCTACAGCTGGCTAATTATAACCTAGCCCCAAGAGGAGGGCTGAGGCTCTTGCTATGAGGAGAGTGACTGACTAGGTGTTTCATTAATGTATACCCTGCCCAAGGAGGGACTGTCTGAAGCATAACCTGAGCTCCAGGAGAAGGTCTCCTGAAATGGGACAAAGAGCTGATGAGGAGTCTTATAAGGAGTCAGAGCAAGGTGACTTTTGTTAGTTCCTCCAGGTAAGTCACACTTTGTAGAAACTTAATAAATCAGACCCCACAGAGGGGTGCATTCTCTTAAGTCAGTGTAAATCTTGTAATTGATTGAAAGAACCTAAGGGGGAGGCCACATAGGGGTGTGCTGGAGAGGCTCACCCCCTGACAGATAAACATATGAACGGCCATAGTGGGTCAGACCAAAGGTCCATCTAGCCCAGTATCCTATCTTCCGACAATGGCAAATGCCAGGTGCTTCAGAGGGAATGAACAGAACAGGTAATCATCAAGTGATCCATCCGCTGTCGCCCATTCCCAGCTTCTGGCAAGCAGAGGCTAGGGACACCATCCCTGCCCATCCTGGCTAACAGCAACAGATGGACCTATCCTCCATGAATTTATCTAGTTCTTTTTTGAACCGTTAATCTTGGCCTTCACAACATCCTCTGGCAAAAGTTCCACAGGCTGACTGTGGATGCCTTGCCTTCTCCCCCGCCTCCTCCCCCCCCCAACTTTTCCCCATCCAAATATTTAAGAAATAATCATGTATAAGAACTATACTTACTGAATGGTGGAAGTTTAAAATCTCATGCTGTAGCTCTAATAATTTTGGCCTTGTATCTCACAAATGGCTAAACATTCCATCATCATTTTAGCAATACACTGAGCTTGAGACTTGTTTAAAGGCAGTGGGTGGCAAAGCCAAGATTAGAACCCAAACTTCCTGAGAATGTTTAGAAAAATTGCAACATATTTTAAAATTTACTTACTGGGGGTCTTCTACCATGACTAGTTCTCACAGCCTGCTGAAAAGCTGTGTCATTTTCTAAATCCTGAAACAAAATAAAAATGTAAGAACTATCCAAAGAAAACAAACAAAAAAAAATAGGTACCTAATTTGCTCCTACAGTACTTTATTATTGCCAGGGAGATGAGGAATGGGAGAGGGAGTGAAAGGAGGTACTGAGACTTGGCTGGGGGGGAAACCGGTTCCAGGCTGGAAAGGGGAGCTTGGGAGTTCCTATCTGTTCCCAGGACTGATTTTGGGCCCTGCAGCAGTCCCTTCAGCCCCTCTTGGTCCCACCCTCGCCTCTGCCTCCCCTTCATCCCCACTAGGCATGCACAAGTATATGTGGGAATGGACCTCCTACAATATTTCCACTGTGGGGGCACTAGCCCCTGTGTTAGGATGCCCTTGGATATTGCCAAATTACAGTTTGTAGTGTCAATAAGCTATGATTGTACAACTTAAAGAACTTTTAGTTTACACAAAGCAATATCAAAACAGAGTAACCACTGAATAGTAAAACATTGGGAGAAAACTGAGCTTGATTTATAATACTTAGTAGTTACCATACACAGCATTTTTATTTCAGTCTAAAGGGCTGTACTAATTTGAATTCTTAACTGATCCTAGTGTGTATCTCATATTGCTATTCCAGTGAGGAAATTTTAAAACAAACATATATTGGATATTGCGCTATTTATATATTTAAACATGCAAGGTGTAGTATAAATCTCACTAGCTTATGGAGGAGGAAACAATATATTGAAAATACACTATAATGATCAATGGACTAGATGACCTATTATGTCTTTTACATCATTTATTTCTACGATTCCATTATTTCATATAAAGGTACATGTGGTGAGGGACAGTTTTAGGGTAAAATAAATGAGTTCTAGAATGCTGGACCTAAGAAGTTTAAGTAGTTCAACACTGAACAGAAGCTATTGACTGAATGCTTAGTCTGCATTCTTATTTAATTGGGTTAAAATGATTTTATGCAACAGTAGTTTTCCGAATATAATTTTATTTTGATAAATTAGTGATTTTATTCTATTTAATATGTAAATTTGACTAAAAAAAAAAATCACAATGTGATCACAATCCCATTGAAGGTGATGTCAAAACTCCCATAGAATTCAGTGGGGCTAGGACTTCACCACAGATGCCAAAACACAAACCTACTAAAACCTCTACTTTTAAACAGTTACAATTTAATATTTCATATATTAAAATCTTAACAGCAAACAGTTTTGTTATACACCTTCAACCAGTGTCTATCTCAGAACAGAAACCCACCAATGAAATTGTAACCACTCAAAATGATCTCTGAGATTGTTGATAAATCTGTATGGATGGGTGGAGGAAAACTAACTTCAAAGCAGCAATGCTTGCTGGTTTGTTTCTGATCATATCTAAAGCACCATCAGAATGCCAACTCCAGTGAAGATTGCCTTATATCATGCACAAAGGCATGGCCTACACACATAAAAACTGAGAAATGGTAAGTAGATGTACCTCTGTGTCAAAGGTGGGGTTATAATCATTGTAGCCAGAATAAAGATCCTCTTCATCTGCTTTAGGTGCCAGGTGGACATTTTGCATCATTTTTACCTGAGAAACATTAATTATGCCAAATATTTTCTCAGCATTATCAAAAGTCTCCTTACAATTGTAAAATCATGAATAGTACTGAGCTTTTTCCATTCACAAGAGCTAAAACTTTAGACCTAATCCAAACCTCACTGAAATTGACCCCTGACTTCAGCAGGTTTTGAATTAAACCTGGACAAACAGCTTCAGCGTAGATTTAAAGGGACACAGTCCACTTGAAATCGAGTCTGTCTGAAGAAGTAACAAGCCCCGCTGAGGTCAAAGAGCTTCTGAGCAGATCTGAAGCACCCGGGGGTCAGGAAAAGGGACTAATAATTGGCCCGATGCTCCAGCGAGTCCGGCCCTGCCTGTGGCCGGCCCCCGCTCTGGCAGAGGTACAGAACTGAAGCTCGAACAGGCCGATCTCTGAATGCTCGCGCCCCTCGCCAGCGCCACACGATGCCGGGCAAAACGAGGCGGGGACCTGTGGAACTCCTCAAATGCGGGGAGCCAGGGCCCCTACCCCGGCCGGAGGGCGAGGGGCCCCACTGCGGCACAGAGCGCCCAGACACAGCGGGAAACATGGGCTCTCTCCCCAGGAGCCAGGGCTACCGCCAATGGCGCGGGGAGGGGAGGGAAAGGAAACCGTTAGACTGTGTAACGGCGCGATTCCCCGTTGGCCCCCGGTTCCCCAGCACTGCCCCCCCCCCCCATGCGGGCTCCGCAGCTGCTGCTGCTGCTGTATCGACTCCAGCCCCGTCATCTTCCCGCTCCACCTTCTACCTGGTCCGGGAGCCCGCCCTGTTACCGCTAGCAGGGGAGCCGGTAACAGGCCCGCACCGCACGGGCTCCGGGCAGTGGTCGCGCCCACGATCCCATCCCAGAACGCACCGCGGCGAGCGGAACGGGAGGGGGCAGTGCGTCCGGTTGCTAAGAGACGAGAGCGACTCGCGGGGGCCTAGGCCCCTGTAGCGTCAGAAACAGCCACTTGCGAGGCTCTGCACGCGCTGAGTGTGCGCGAGCGATTAGCGCATGCGCAGCAGCAAGTCTGGAAGCCGTGGCTCACACTCGGCCCTGACCCTCAGATTCTGCTCCCTGAGCAAAGGGCGGGGCCGAAAAGCGGAGCCGAGGGGCCTCCTCTACCGCAGTGCCCCGGCCTCTAGCTGTGCCACGCGAGGGAGGCTGTAAACACCTGCCTGCTGGAGGCTTGGTTCTGAGGCAGGTCTTCCTTTTCCCTGCTAGGTTAGGCAGGTTCAGACGTGAAACCTTGACAGTTTCAGGAAAGCCAACCCCATCCCCTAAACATACCAAACAAGTAACCCTGGCCTTGCTGAATGTGGAAACGGAGACAGGTGGAGCGAGCAACAGGCACAAAACGGAGAAGCTCCTTCATGACCCACAGTTCACGAAGAAAAAGAGTTGGGGGTGGATAATAGCTGAACATGAGGGCCCAGGGCCAGGCTGTGGCCAAGAGCTAATGCAATCCTGGAGTGCATAAACGCAAATCGAGTAAGAGTCAAGAGATTATTTTTACTTCTATATGTAAGCAGGGGAATAGTCCCGCTATTGTGGGGAACTTTCCTGGCTTCTGCACTACCCCGGTGAAGTGGGGTTAGCGAAAGGATCTGAGTCCTCGCTCCCACTTCCTTTATCCAGTGGCCTCCCTGCCTTTGAGGGCTCCCCTTCCACTCTCCTGTCTGGCAGAGTCCCCGTAACCCCAACAAGGCTGGGCCCAGGATTCCTGGGGGGCTCAACCCCCAATCCTGCTGTGGTCACCTAGGACAGGGGCTAGGGTGTCCCCACTCCGGGGTACTCTCTCTGCTCTGGGCACTTCTCTGATCCACTGACCATTACATACAAGTTAAAGCAAATGCAAGTTATTTAATCAACAATTAATTTTAAAAAGAATAAGGAAAAATGGGAAAGGTTAAAGGAAACACATCAACCCGCTCTGTGGCAGGAAACATCACGAACAGTGTCTCTGGAATGTCAGGGCAGTTCACAGTCTGTTCCTTGTAAGTCCCAGGCTTTCTTCTCCGGCCCTGGTTTTGCTGCAGGGATGCTCTGGTGGTGGCCACACGCTCAGGCTCTAAGTGGTAGGACCCTTCTTTCCAGTGTCGGCCCCGCCCTGTCAGGATTGGATCCAAGCCTGGCCTGCAGAACCTCTTGGCTGAGGTGTCTCCCTGTGCTGGGCCCGCTGCCCAGGGTCCCCCTCGATCTCCCTAGCTGCTCACCGCACCCAGCTCCACCACTCTGTCTCTGTTGCTCTGCCTCCAGCTCCCTGGGCTGCTTCTCTGGCCCCTCTGGCTCTGGTTGCTGCAGCTCTGCTCCCAGGACAGATCTGCACTGCAGGCTGCTTCTGTGACTCTGCTCCCAGCACTGACCTGCTTCATGGGCTTTTTTTCTGGTCCTTCTGGATCTGGCACAGCTCTGCTCCCCAGCTTAGCTTGGGCCCCTGCTTTCTCCTTAGTTCAGCCCCACTCTGTCTGACCTAGGCAAATCCAACTCACACAGAGGATGGGACCTCCTTGGCCTCCTGACTCCCTGCTTAGCCTGCTCGCCCTGTCATTCAGGCTGACCTGGAGCATTGGCCTCTCCCCATTGTTCCTGGGGGCTGTCAGTCTCAGGGTTCTGATTCCCCACCAACCCTTTCCCCTTTTTAGTATTGGGAGCTAGCAACTAAAACAGCCCCACTGAATGTTAGTAAGGGGGCAACAGTCCCCTTCCATGTATTTGACACTGGTGCAATTGCTGCTGGATCCTCTAGCCAGTTCTGGTGACCACAAATAAAGAAGGATGTTGCTAAATTATAGAGGGCTCAGAGAAAAGCCACGAGAATGATTAGAGAGTTAGAAAACTTGGCTTTAAGTGGTTTTCTCAAGGAGCAAACTGTATTTAGTTTAACAAAGAGAAGGTTAAGGACTGACTTGATTAGTCTACAATTACCTACACAGGGAACAAATATCTAATCTATCAGAGAAAGATATATCACAATCCAATGACTGGACGTTGAAGCCAGGGCCGGCTGTAGGCACCAGCTAAGTAAGCTTGTGCCTGGGGCGGCGCTGCTGAAGGGGCAGCACTCCGGCTGTCGTTGGGGTGGAACTCTGGCAGCAGCCCCGGCGGCAATTTGGCAGCAGCTCCTCTCCGTTGTTTCCCGCAGAGGCAATTCAGTGGCGACTCTTCTGACATGGGTCTTGCCGTCAGTGGCAATTCAGCGGCAGCTCCCTCCGATGTTTCTGTTCTCTCCGGCGGCGGCATATTCATCAGGTTGTTTGTTTGTTTGTTTGTTTTTTGGTGCTGCTTGGGGTGGCAAAAAATGTAAAGCCGGCCCTCGTTGAAGCTAAACAAATTCAGACAGGAAATAAGGCATACATTTATAATGGTGAGAGTAATTAACCATTGGAATAATTTCTCACTGGTCATGGTGGATTCTCCATCACTGACCATTTTTAAATCAAGATTGGATGATTTGTGGGGGATTTCTATGACCTGTGTTATACAGGAGGTCAGACTAGATGATCACAGTGGTCCCTTCTGGCCTTGGAATCTATGAATCAATAGGAAAAAAGACTAGTGAAAACTTTTAGGCCCTGATCCTTCAAGAGAATTGTGTGGGCCACTGGGATAGATCAGGCACCTAAATATTTTGGTTAAAGTAGGTTGACTATTCCTGTTTGATCCTTCTAGGATTCTGTGTAGCATCCATCATCATACCATCTAAGACACCAATCCTTCAAACACTTATGTATGTTCCTAATGTTATGCATGACCTATTGAGGTCCCTTCCAGTCCCATGATTCTATGTGAGTACTTTATGGGTTACGTTAAGCATGTTTATAAATTGTAGCCTGTGTGCTTACCAAGGGGCAGCATATTCTTCTGCTCATCTTTCCTCATCCTTTAGACCAGAAAATTAGGACGGCTGATGCTAATCCTATATCCTGTCAGAATATGCTTTCCCTCATTCACCTTTCCTCATCCCCTGATCCAGGGATAGCAAATTCTGACAGATGATCATCTGTCAGAATTTGCTATAGTTGTACCTGGGAAGAAAGATAAGCATTTTGAAAGGGAGGTAAAAAATGAGATGCCCTCAATATGGGAAATGTTTTCTAACTCCCGCTCTCAGCATCCTGCCAATCATACAGTGCAGAGGCTGGAGTCCCGGATGATCTAATCTTGACTGGCCTCCAAGAAAAGTTTGTCTGCTTTATTGGGAGTGGTGAGCATTGTATGCTTAGCGTGTGTATTCTGTTTTGGTAATTCTTAATAGAAGTTAAGGATATTACTGTGTAAGGTTCTTTTACTGGTAAAAGGCCTCAAACCTGCAGAAGATTTTGCCCTGAGCCCTAGGAATTGGGTAAGGGTGGCCCTAAGCCCTAGGAACTGAATAAGGGTAGTTTCCTTTCACCCTGAGCCCTAGGAACTGGGTAAGGGTTGGGGTGCTTAAATTAACTGGGTTATGCCTTGAGCCTACCGAAGGGTAATGGTGGGGTGCCCTAGAGTGTGTGGGTAACACATTCTGGCAACTCTTTTACTATGTTGCTCTATATTGCATATAATAGAAAGTCATAATATTTATAACTTGTTTATTATTCATATTGCCATAGTGACTAGGAGCCCTAGTCATGGAGCAGACCCCATTTTGGTAGGCATTGTACAAATACAGAGAGATGGTCCCGAGCCTATACCAAAGAATTTACAATCTAAAGCTATGTCTAAACTAGAAAGTTTTCCTGGTAGACATTACCAGCATTTCTATGTCAGTGGAGCATGTGCACACTTAGCAGCCTTTGTTGCTGTGCTTCCTCACTGTCAGAAGTTCTGTCAGCAAAAGATGTGGTGCAGTATGTTTACGTATCCTAGTGTACCCAATACCACCATCTGGTGCACACCTTTCTGTGTAATATTTGCAGTGCATTGTGGAATACCAGCAGTACATTCAGAAAATTATGGGAGCTCGGGGTTAAATTCCTGCAGTTCCCTTTCTTCCAGGCCATAACTTCTGTGACTTTTTAAAAATTTGCACGGTTCTTTGTACTGCTCTTTCAGTGTCTATCTTGCCATCCAGGATCACCTTGAACAGATTGGCATTATTGTGTTTGTTTTAAAGACAGGTCTCATGATTCTTCTATCTTTGCAGAGCTTCAATGACTGCCACAGAAACTGGTGATGCTGTGATGAAGATGAGACAAACAAGAAGGAAGAATGGATGATGCAGAAAGTGCATAAAAATTGCAAGGTGCTGCTGGCATTCGCTGATCAGCTCCACATGATCGAGTGGCACTTCTGGGCCCATGAAATGAGGATGACGTGGTGCAACTATATTGTGAGGCAGATCTGAGATGAGCAGTAGTTGCTGTAGAACTTTAAAATACAAAGACCACTTTCCTGGGGTTGTGTGTTGAGCTCGCCTGAGCCCTCCATTGCAGAGACATCAGAATGAGAGCTGCTTTGACCGTAGAAAAGAGGGGCCTGCTTTGACTGTAGGAAAGAGTGTGTGCTCTAGAAGTTTGCAATCCCAGGCTGCTATCAGTCAATGGACAATGAGTTCAGTGTTGGAAAATCCATGGTGGGGGCGGTTGTCATCCAGGTGTGCGTGGCTATTAAACGTGTATAGTATTGTGACTCTGGGCAATGTGCAGGAAATAATAGAGGGACTTGAAGCAATGGACTTCCTGAACTGTGGTGGGGTAATAGGCTGCATAGCCTGATTCTGCTGCCTGCTCCCCCACACCTTACTGCTTAGTACATAAACAGAAAGGGGTACTTGTGCCTGGTTATGAAAGCACTTGTGTATTACTGGAGGGTGTTTCACTGACATTAATGATGGCTGGTCAGGGAAGACATGACGCTCATGTCTTTAAGAATACAGCACTTTCTGAAAAGATGTAAGCAGGGATGCTTATCCTGTACCAGCACCACCACATTAGCACTGCTAGAATGCAGTGACATTTGCCAGAGTACAATCCAGACTGCTGGACAGCTATGTTCCCTCAATTCTCCAAGCCGGGGTGCCTTTTACACTGCTTTGCTTTGAGAGAAACCTCTCCTGGCCTGCTCACAGGCAACCTCTAGCATGTAAATTACTCCCAGCTGAGTTATAGGTGTGTTCCTATCCAGCCACTCCTGAATTATATTCTAGAGCAATACCGGCAAATTCTCAGTACCAGACTTGTCCCCAGAAATGTGCATCTTGTACTGCTCAGCACCCTCTGCTGGGCAGTACAAGCTCACAGAAAATGAAATGACAGACTAACAGAAAATGATATATACAAACCCTCTTATCTCACATGGAGAGTCCAAACACTTCAATCCAAACACACACAAACATGTTTATCAACTACAGAAAGATAAATTTTAAGTGATTACAAATAATGAGGCATAAAAGTCAGAATTGGTTACAAAGAAATAAAAGGTAAAACACAAACTAATACCTAACTTAAAAAGCTAAGTGAACTTGAAGCAAAAAGGTTTTTCTCACCACATGCTCACAGCACTCTGTCTGGATTCCTTCAGCCAGGACCACTCCCCCAGTTCAATGGTGCTTCATTTGTCTTTCAAACATTGCTGCTGCCATGAGCCGATGTGAGATGTGTTTTGTGTCTTCTGTTCTCCCTTCTTATAGCATTTCTCTTCTTTGAGAATTATCTCCAGCTGGGGTTCAGGCGACAACAAGTCTGTTAGCCAAGATGTAAGTTTCTCACTCACACTCTTCTTCCTGCCAAAGAATGGCCACTTAACCAGGTGATAGTCCATTTGATTTTGTTGACACTTGGTTGAGGCATCAGTTTGCCTTTTGCCTCTGAGGAACTGGTGCCTCCTGCTTTTCTAAACTTGGATCATGTCTCAGCAATGTCATACAGTAAAATCTTATAACTTTACATACAATGTTGCCATACACATTTTACCAGGACAATGATGATCAGCAAATTATAAGGTTTCAAATGATATGTCACAAGGAATAACTTTGTACAAGATTTATCATAGTTTTGTAAAAAGGATGAACAACGGGGAACAAACTGTCACAAATGCCACTAGTGATTCTGGGGAAGCTGCCCTACCCTTTGTATCCCTGGTTCGTGAAACCATACACCAGATACTGGACAGCATCAAGGAACGATTTAATTACTCTCTGAGCAGGTGCAAGATAACTGTTGAATGTGCACGTGGCAGGTTGGAAGGACACTGGCAATAGTTCATGAATAGGTGGGATCTTAGTGAGGCAAACATTCCTGTTTTGCTTCTATTGATTTCAATGGAAGTTAGGAGCCTAAAAACCCTTAAAAAGAAAAGGAGGACTTGTGGCACCTTAGAGACTAACCAATTTATTTGAGCATGAGCTTTCGTGAGCTACAGCTCACTTCATCGGATGCATACCGTGGAAACTGCAGCAGACTTTATATACACACAGAGAATATGAAACAATACCTCCTCCCACCCCACTGTCCTGCTGGTAATAGCTTATCTAAAGTGATCATCAAGTTGGGCCATTTCCAGCACAAATCCAGGTTTTCTCACCCTCCACCCCCCCACACACAAATTCACTCTCCTGCTGGTAATAGCCCATCCAAAGTGACAACTCTCTACACAATGTGCATGATAATCAAGTTGGGCCATTTTCCTGCACAAATCCAGGTTCTCTCACCCCCCTCCAAAAACACACACACACAAACTCACTCTCCTGCTGGTAATAGCTCATCCAAAGTGACCACTCTCCCTACAATGTGCATGGTAATCAAGGTGGGCCATGTCCAGCACAAATCCAGGCTTTCTCACTCCCCCCCCCTTTTTTCCAGGGACACACACACAAACTCACTCTCCTGCTGGCAATAGCCTCTATTTAAGCCTAAATTAATAGTATCCAATTTGCAAATGAATTCTAATTCAGCAGTTTCTCGCTGGAGTCTGGATTTGAAGTTTTTTTGTTTTAAGATAGCGACCTTCATGTCTGTGATTGCGTGACCAGAGAGATTGAAGTGTTCTCCGACTGGTTTATGAATGTTATAATTCTTGACATCTGATTTGTGTCCATTTATTCTTTTACGTAGAGACTGTCCAGTTTGACCAATGTAAATGGCAGAGGGGCATTGCTGGCACATGATGGCATATATCACATTGGTGGATGTGCAGGTGAACGAGCCTCTGATAGTGTGGCTGATGTTATTAGGCTCTGTGATGATGTCCCCTGAATAGATATGTGGGCACAGTTGGCAACGGGCTTTGTTGCAAGGATAAGTTCCTGGGTTAGTGGTTCTGTTGTGTGGTATGTGGTTGTTGGTGAGTATTTGCTTCAGGTTGTGGGGCTGTCTGTAGGCAAGGACTGGCCTGTCTCCCAAGATTTGTGAGAGTGTTGGGTCATCCTTTAGGATAGGTTGTAGATCCTTAATAATGCGTTGGAGGGGTTTTAGTTGGGGGCTGAAGGTGACGGCTAGTGGCTTTCTGTTATTTTCTTTGTTAGGCCTGTCCTGTAGTAGGTAACTTCTGGGAACTCTTCTGGCTCTATCAATCTGTTTCTTTACTTCCGCAGGTGGGTATTGTAGTTGTAAGAAAGCTTGACAGAGATCTTGTAGGTGTTTGTCTCTGTCTGAGGGGTTGGAGCAAATGCAGTTGTATCGCAGAGCTTGGCTGTAGACGATGGATCATGTGGTGTGGTCAGGGTGAAAGCTGGAGGCATGTAGGTAGGAATAGCGGTCAGTAGGTTTCCGGTATAGGGTGGTGTTTATGTGACCATTGTTTATTAGCACTGTAGTGTCCAGGAAGTGGATCTCTTGTGTGGACTGGACCAGGCTGAGGTTGATGGTGGGATGGAAGTTGTTGAAATCATGGTGGAGGGTGAGAAAACCTGGATTTGTGCTGGAAATGGCCCAACTTGATGATCACTTTAGATAAGCTATTACCAGCAGGACAGTGGGGTGGGAGGAGGTATTGTTTCATATTCTCTGTGTGTATATAAAGTCTGCTGCAGTTTCCACGGTATGCATCCGATGAAGTGAGCTGTAGCTCACGAAAGCTCATGCTCAAATAAATTGGTTAGTCTCTAAGGTGCCACAAGTACTCCTTTTCTTTTTGCGAATACAGACTAACACGGCTGTTACTCTTAAAAACCCTTAAGTAGCTGGGCCAAAGGTGCTTCTTAATAGCAAGATATCTTTAATGAAACAAACTAATCATCTGCAGATTGTTGACTGATACATGTTTTTAAATGGTTATGGTACATTTTAACCTAGTTTAGATTATAGCAAGGAACAAGTTGTACCATGTTTACTTAATAGAAGAACATAGGTCAGCTGTAATTCTCTGGCTGTCTTGAGGGCTGGGAGAGGCTACACTCTGAAGGTATTGGACACTCAGGTTAATTAATGACACTAACTTATAGGAATTGTACCTTTTTATTCTTTCCATAGCTGTAGTGGCTCAGGATCCCAGAGAGGAATTAAGAGCTTCTTGTACTATACCTTATACAAATAAATAACAGAAGAAAATCCCTGCCCTAGAAAAGTGGTTCTCAGCCTTTTTGGGCTCAGGAACAATTTGTAAACTTGATAGCCTGTCACAACCTAATAAATAGCTTTAGAGCAAAACAAATAAATGAACCTCATTTACTTAATATTCTTACCCACAGTATATAATATACACATTAATATAATAAGTACACTATGTGTACCGTAGTTTGAGCTCCTGCCCCATAGGTCTGGCTGGACTTGGCTTCCTGCTCTGGGTGTTGTGACATACAGGGTCGTAGCATCACTCAGGGGGGCCAGCCAGGCCAAATTTGTATAAGTGGCATTGCAAACTGGCACCTGGGATCACAGTACCATTCACTCAAATTTGGCATGGCTGGTTCTCCATCATCATGATGGAGGGCCAAACCTGAGTGGTGCTATGACCCCTGAAAGAGGTAGCAACTCCCAGAGTGGGAAGCCGAGCCCCGTCAGCCCCAGATTTGGAGCCGCAGGGACTGCAGCTGTGACATAGGTGTAGGGTCTGAACCCCTTCCACCACAAGCCTTCCACACCTCTGTGGAAACAGGACCCAACTCCTCTCTTCCCCTTAAGAGCCTCCATGTCCCTTCAACACATTCTGGTGATTTAATTTTGGGTCATGACTCATGACCCACAAGTTGAGAAAACCTGTTCTAGAGACTTTGCAATCTAGGATTTAGACATTTAAGTTGATACAATTTTGTAAATAAATGGCACAATTGAGAGCTAGTTTCTAGGCCCTGCAAAGGCCATGGCAACTTTTCCCCCTCCCCCTTACCCCACTACTTCATTTTTTAAAAATGTAGTTTTCTGTCCCCTTTCCTGGCAAAGATATCCCGATATAAACTGTTTGCTGTGATTGAAAGTTTGTCATCAGATTATAGTCTTTCTAAAGATCATAGTATTTATAGTCCCTCCCTGTAGCTGGCCTCTGGTGTCCACGTAAACCAGAGCCAAAGGTACTTTGATTTTTGGCAGAATGCCCATTCAGTTCATGGCTTTTTATGAGGCACTGCCTTTCAGGATTCTGTTGCTAGTAGTACAGCTGCCACAGTTCCCTTCTAGCTGTCTGCTGGTAGCTGAGCTGACTCACCTGTTGATAGCCACTGTAGCGTCAAGAAGAGGAAGCCAAAAATAGCGAGAGGAAGTGTGATCTAGTGGACTAAACACTGGACTGAGAATAAGGGACTTCTGCATTCTACAGCCCCATATATACAACAGTAATAAACATGTTTAATATGGTTATACCTAAGCCATGTTATAACATGTTTATTCTTTCCCATGTGGAAAGAACCCCTCCCTCCACTGTTTTAGCCATGTTAAGGAACCATATTTTAGCCTAGGTAGCTATCAGTGTTAAAATATAGTTTTCTTATAGATTTCTGGTATTGTTTTTATTTTTTTGTCTACAGAGGCAGTTTTTAAAAAAGTTATAATGTGGTTTGTCTACAACCATGTTTAAACATGGTTATCTTTGTTGTATAGACAAGGCCTAATCCCAGTGTTTATAACAACTCCTTCAAAGGGAATGAACAGAAGAGAGCAATTATCAATTACCAAGTGATCCATCCCCTGTCATCCAGGCCCAACATCTGGCAGTCTGAGGCTTAGAGACACCTACAGCATGGGGTTGCATGCGCTTGGCTAACTGGCATTAATAGACCTATCTTCCATGAATTTATCTAATTCTCTTTTGAACCCAGGTATACTTTTTGTCCTTCACAACATCCTCTGGCAACCAGTTCCACAGATTGACTGTGCATTGTGTGAAGAAATACTTCCTTTTGTTTGTTTTAAAGCTGCTGCCTATTAATTTCATTTGGTGACCCTACTTCTTGTGTTATGAGAAGGAGTAAATAACACTTCCTTATTTACTTTCTCCATACCAGTCATGATTTTATAGACCTCTATCATATCCCCCCATAGACATCTCTTTTCCAAGCTGAAAAGTCCAAATCTTATTAATCTCTCCTCATACAGAAGCTGTTCCATA